TAAATATAGAGGCTAATGCTGAAATCGGCAGATAATAAAAAATTTTCATATTTTATTATTAAATTGTAAAATTTTTTAGAGCCTTTTTTGTAGTCTTTTTTTTTATAGTTAGGTTAGAGTTAGGGAGTAGTATTTATTAATAAAAAAGTATATATGAATTTTAGTAGATTTTATAGATTTAAGAAGAGACCCCAATTTTTAGCATCAGCTGATTTCAGCATTAACCTCTACAATAAATATTTCACAATTATCAGTAATGTATTAGAATAATAAAAAAGCATAAATGAGAGGTGACATTTGGATACAATGGTTAAAATACATTGATAAGATTTTTTGCATCTAGAATAGACAAGTCTTACTTCTTGTCGATGATACAACTTCTTATATAGCTCTTGAAACAAGCAATATAGATAAACCTAATACTGATAAACCATCTTCTAAAAATAACTCAAATAATGATAATAACTCTGATGAAGAAGTTAAAATACACCAAAAAAGGTTCTGAGCAATATTTTAAGCAAGATCCCAAGCAAGATCACGAGCAACATTCCGAGCAAGATCACAAGCAAGATTCTAAGCAAGATCTAGAAGAAGATTCTAAGGAAGCTGAGGAAACCAAGGAAGATTGCAAGAAAATTCTCAAAGAAACACCTGTTCCAATTAATCAGAACAAACTTTTAATAATTTTTAGCTTACAAATATTACATTACATTTTTTTCTGCCACTTACGATTGCTCATCTCCAACCTATAAATGCTGTGATTATAAAATGCTTTAAGTCAAAATACAAACACTTATATTGTCATCATTTGTTTGCACAATTTGATAAAGATGAAGAAGATCAAAAGTAAGTAATTATTTCTTGATATTTATTGGACCATATGAAGTTAATTTTTTGTTCTCATAATATAAAATTTAAGAAAAGATCTACTATTTAGTTTTAATTTTCTTTAAAAAAATTACTATACAGCATGGACTATAATACTCTACATCAAAATACTCTCTATAAAAATTGTTAGCAGTTGAATACAAGATACCCAGGTACTTTACAGAGTGAAATATCCAGATACTAACTTAGATTTTAGCTATAGAATATATTGTATCTGGGGTATTATAGCCATACTATATAGTATATATAAAAATTTTTTAAAAAAACTATCTAGAAAGTAAAATTTTTTTCTTAAAGTTAGCAAAATTTGGCCTATGAGAGCCAAAAAATTAACTTTGCTTGATCTTGCTTTTTAACTAATCATTATTTTATAAAATATAGAAAACTTATCCTAAAAGAAGCTATTGCTTCATCGATAAAGCTTGGTAAGAAGTTAGCGATATCACAATAAAAGATTGTTGGAAAGCTACTGAAATTTTACCAAAAATTAATGAATTCGATGAAAATGAATTTGAAGCAGATGATCTTGATATATCAGAGGTAGACAAGGTTGCTTTTCTAATTAAAGATCTCTCAGCCAACACCAGCCCAAGTGTCCAACAGTTAGTGCAAGATATTGAAAAATATAGCAATTTGATTGACCAGCCAGTTGTAACTGAAGACATGTTGATGGACGAGAATATAATCAAAATAATAAAATATGAGTTTGAAGATTATAGTAAACATGGTGATGATGATGATGATGATGAGATACCACCCTCACCTCCAACTATTGCAGAAGCTATCGAAGCACTTGAGAAGATTATTAGTTATCAAGAAAGTCTTGAATTTGGAAAAGGAATAGTCTAAAGATGTTACGAAAAAATCTTCATGAATGGAGTTATAAAAAAAATAAAAATAAGCAACAACTTTTGATTTTATCATTTTTTAATAATGATAGTGATTGATATAGTGACCAGGTATTGCTATTAGTTAAATAAGGTCCTGATTACTATGAAGTGCTAATTCATATTGTGAATTTAAAATTCAATACAATAAATTGATTTTGGCATTTATTAAATAAAATATAATTTGATAATGTGTAAAAGATATATTTTGTATATTATTTTCTAAACTGATCCTATAATAATTCCTTAACTAGTTATTCAAATAAGTATCTGCTAGAATTAGTTAATAATAGATGATGAAGATCATGGTATAATTTTTGAAAACCATTTTTCCCAAAAATCATAATACTAACTAAATTGGTCAATAATATCTTTTAAAAAAATGGCTTTTAAGAAATTATTTTATAATCTATTCTCTTGTTCGTTTTTATGATTAAAATAAACAATTTTATAAAAAATAAAATAAAGTTATTAGCAGTTGTTGCATATATACCACCATTTTTTCAAATAAGAAAAATTATAAAGTAATTACAGTACTATATATATTATTGTATAAAAAACTTTACTTTAAACTTCATCTCTACTGCTTCTAAATGAAAGTTTAAATTTATTAGAATTTCTGTTGAAAGTCAATCAATCAAAGATGAAGTCTTTGCTATATGTTGTAATAAAGATTATGAAAGATAATGATAATAAATGCTTTTCAAAGAAAAAGTTGTTTATATAAGTGCAAAATAATATAGGTGTTATTTTGAAAAATTATGTTTCTTAAAAATAAATATGTGATCTCAACTTAGCTTCTATAAGCATCCTGAATTAACACACAGGCCTGCAATAACTACTAGCTGATTAAATATATTAGAGGTTACTGCATTTTAATCCAAATATAAAAGTAAAGCATCCAAGTTCACCTTTATTTCAAATAGCATACATGGGGTATACTCAAAATAACATGCAGGTAGATGTTATTTTATGCTTGTAAAGTATAATTGCTTTTTATAGATAAAGTAATTCAGATCTACAAAAAAAAATAAAAATGAAGAACTAATGTGGCAAACTTAACTTGAGTTTAGTAAAAACATCAGAATATATATTTTTAAATAAAATTAACTTTATTGGATTATTAACAATGAGTTGTGATTGTATTGACGAGGTTGATACTACAGGAGAAGTAGTGGAAACAATGATGTTAATTAGAAATACCTTTCCAAGATAAATCCTAAGTTTTGTTGCACCAGTAGTTGAAGCTGAAGCTGGTTTATTAGCAAGTACAATAGCAGGTATTGTAATTAGACTTCCGAGTTTAACCTTTGGTTCTTTCTCGAAATTGTAGATTATGCTTATCAAAAAATTAATACTGTATTCTTGTTTCTAATTGGCTGCATATAATTAATTTTTATTGGCCAGGTTAATATTCATGTGATTAGTAACTTTATAAAGAACAGTTTTAAATTAGTGGTTGACAAAAAATTGTAATAGTGACTATATATCAATTGTAATTATATAGAAGGTAAAATAATATTATAATAAATTGGTAAATTTATAAATATAATTATATTAATTTTGTAACTATATGAGAGGTAACTATAGAGAGGTCTGACTGTATAAAATATATAATATATAAATGATATAAAATTTTACTAACTATAACCAATGGTGATATCACAAATATTGTAATTAACCAATAAATTTGCTAGATCAGATATAATATGTAAATTAGTTTGTATAACAAAAATAAAGATTTTTTTTATCTCAAGAATTCATCTATAAAACTACCTTCAACATTCTAGCAAAAAAAATTCTTTACTAAATTTTGTATATACCTAACACCTTGCTAAAATCTTAGGCCTCACCCTAATCCTAAAGTAGAGAAATAAAGTTTTATTTTGTTTTATTATTATTGGCTAATTACAATACTGGTGATATCATCACCAGTTACAGTTAGTTAAACTTAATTATATATATCCCTTATACCATCAATTTTAGTAGACAAATTTGCCTGCTAGAATTTTTAAAAGATTTATAAAATTTGCTTCTGATTTATTTTTATTAAAATTGTTATTTAAAAAATTTTTTTTAAATATTAACTATTAATATAGATTATATTTTAATAAATTTAATTTTTATATTTGTATAAAAAAAATTTAAGTTGTCTATAAGCTAAAAAATTTTAAAATTTACTTTATTTTTGACTATTGATAAATTTTTTAAAATTCTAAAAACATATATCCTATAATTTTGATACAAATTGTAGATTAAGTTATCATAAACAATTTTTGTTATAAAAGTTTTTATAAATTTATAATTTTTTTTATTTGGAAACATATAAAAATTTAAAACTTTTAAAAATTTTTAAAAAATTTTATAGTAAATTAAAGAATTGCCTATATTTAAACAAATTTTTTTTTATTTATAGGCAAAAATAAATTAGCGACCCGTCACACTGCGACCCCTATATGATCGGCCAATCATGTTTGAGATTAGCGATCATATATAAACAGGAATTATAGTTTATTTTTGTTTATTTTGGGGGTTTTTTTTTGCATTCATCGTGTTTCACTATTTAACTTTCGCACTTTCGCACTACTTTGGGATCAGGTGTGTGCTTTTAATTTTTTTAGTTAGCTTCTTTTTTTTTTATTAGAACTAACTTCTTTCTTTGATTTTTTTTTTTGTTTTTTTGCTTTTATTTTTTTTATTTTTTTTTGTATTCGTCATTTCAGTTTTGTGTTTTCATTGTCTCACTATTTGACTTTTGCTAAACTTCAGGATCAGGTATGCGCTTTTGTATTTGCTTTTAATTTTTTTAGTTGATTTTTTTTTATTAAAATTAACTCTTTCACTTTTTTTATTCGCTTTTATTTTATTTTTCTTCGCTTTCTTTATTTTAATGTTTTTTCTTTTTCTTTCACACTTTTCAATTTCTTTTTATTTATTTTTTTTATTTGCTCTTCGTCTTTTTTTTTCATCTATCCTTTTCTTCTCTTCGTTCATTTTTCTTTCATTCTTTCGTTTTTTTCTTGTCTTATTTTTCTGGTTTCTTTTCTTCGCTTATTTTTTTCTGTCTTTTTCTTTTTTAGTTTCTTATTCTTTATTGCATTTTAGGTTTTTTATTTCTTTTCTTCTTTTTCTGTTTTATTTCTTGTTCTTTTATTCGTTCTCTCTTTTTCTTGTATTTTTTTTTTTTGTCTTCTCTTTTTTCATTTTTTTTTTGTATTTTCTTTTTCAATTTTTATTTTTCTTTCGTTCTTCTCTTTTTTTCTTTGTTTTTCCCTTTTTTTCTATTCTTTTCTTTTTTTTTTTGTTTTTTCCTTTTTCTTTTGTTCGTTTTATCTTCTCTTTTTCTTTTGTTCGTTTTATTTTTCTTTTTTTCTTTTGTTCATTTTATCTTCTCTTTTTCTTAGTTTTTTTTTCGTCTCTTTGAACTCTCTTTCATCATTGTTGAAGTCATTGTTGATGTCGTCATTGGAGTTGTCATTGGAGTCATCGTTGAAGCCTAGATTAGAGCCCTAAAACTGTCGCGAAGTTGTGTTTGGGTCATGGAGATTTGGTGATTAAAACTGAGATCTTGTGAGATAAGTAGTTTCTTTTCTTTTTTTTTTTTTCTTTTTTCCTTCCTTTGAACTAATATTAACTTTCTGTAGGTTTGCCCCCTAGAAGATCATACAGTGAAAATTTGAAACGGGATTTTGCAAAATATGTTTTTTTTTTGGTTGCTTTTTTTTTTTTGCTTTTCTTTTTTTGAGCTAACACTTTCTTTTTTTTGTAGGTTTGCTTTATTGGAGAGATAAGAATCAGGATGGTTCTGAGCTTTTGTTGTTCAGTGCTGTCATTTAAGGAGTATAGAGATTTTGGCCTTTTGTTCTGGTTTCATTAGTAATTTCAGGCTTCATCATTCTGGCGCTATCATTCATGTGCCGTCATTCATAGAAATTTCAAAACAATCTTGAATTAGAAGGAGGAAAAAGCATTTGCAAATGCACTTTGCAAAAACACTATGCTGACTTTTTTGAATTTTGGATGGTGCCATCATTTTTAGAACCTTCATCGCGATATTATAGATTTTTTTTTTTTTTCTTATTATGTAATTTATTGTAATTGATTTGATGGTTATAATAAATTAAAATTGTGTAATCGTGGTAATAAAAAGTTTATTAAATGACAAATCGACTAATAAAAATCAATCATGTGATCACATGATCGATTGATTTCAATCAATCGAGCATGTGATCACGTGATCAATTTTTATTAGTCGATTACAGAGTCGCCATAGTGATGGGTCGCTCTAAAATAACGCCCTTATTTATAAATATATATATAATTAAAATTTTAATAGATATCAATTAACAATATATTAAATTTTTATTTTAACTTAATAATAGGAGTATATATCTTTAATAAAATTTTTAGTAATTTTAAAAAAACATGTTAAAAAAATTTTAGCAGCCAAAATTGCTTGCTGGATAGTTTAATAGATAAAAGTATATTGATTTAATGAACTTGATAAGTTGTTATATCCCAAGTAGTAAAACAAAAGTTTGAATTTCACTAGTAACAAAATTTGAATTTTACAGAATGTGTTATAGCAAACTGTATATAATTTGATGATTTGGCTTTTATAATCTTAATTATACTAGCTTATATTAGAAAGCTATAGAACATTAGTATAATATATGAATTATATGGAACCTAAGTAAAGTAACCAGGTAAATTTAAAGGCTTGGATATACAGAAGTTTGCTTGGCAAGTTCCAAATAGAAAAGTAGTATAAAATTTTAATGATACTACTTAAAGAATTATCATTTGAAGAACCAGAAAACTGAACAAAACTGAAGTGTTTGATACAAATACTATATCAACTAGGCTATTAGATAACTAGTGAAATGGATCACTCTTTTGAGCTATCTGAATTGAAAGTTTAGAAAAACCTAAAGTATGGTAGAGTCTGTATAGTGGGTGCTAAAGTTTGAGATAAACTATATAAAAGCAAAAATAGATAATAGTAGTAGCTTTGACTTATAAGTACTTGTCTTCAGATTTGATATAAATTACTGAAGTTTAGATTAGCTAGATTGTAAATCTAGAAAACTTTAGTAATAATGCCTTAAGGATAAATTAGTTCTAAGAAATAAGAAAAGCATTCAGGACTCCTCAATTGACAAATGTAACAGAAATGTACTAATAATATAAGTAGTTGTGATATAGAGGGTTTAAATAAATAATCCTCCAATTACTATATCAAGATCACAAGAGGATTAATTAATAATATCCTGACCATATATAAATAAACAGAAATGAAGTTTCTGCTAATTCCCAACAGATTAAGATATTATTATTATTAATCTCCTAGTTGGTTATAGATATAATATCTAATGTACTATATATTGCTGAAAATAAGCTACTTTTTTGTCAAAAAAAATTACACTAAAATAATACAAGTAGCTTATTATTGGGTAATAATAATTTTTCAACATTTACAAAAATTTTTACTAAGTAAAGCGATTTACTTTATTAAGTAAAAGTTGTCAGAAGATCAAAATGCATTTATTCTGAAAATTTTATGTAAATCAGAGAATATTTTATTAATTGACTTTTGATTTTTACGTTCAACAAATATAAACTTTAAAGAAATTTTTAAATTTTTGTTGAAAAATAATATACAAAAACCAATTAATAAAATGTTTTCTAATTTATATGAAATTTTTTCAGAATATATGTATTTTGATCTTCTGAATAACTTTCACTTAATAAGGTAGGTCAATTTACCTAGTAAAATTTTAACTTTACTAAGTAGCAACAATAATCGATTATGGAGGTAGCTAAGGTTTCTCAAAATCAAATCAAATCAAATATTAGACTTATTTAAATTTGATTTGATTTGAAAATCTGGATTTGAATTTGATTTGATTTAAAAAATCTGGATTTGAATTTGATTTGATTATTTGATTTTAAAATTTCAAATCAAATTAAAATTTTAGCTATTTATAAAAATCTTTGATTTGCTTAAAAATTTATTAAGCTAATTGATTTGTATATTAAATAATAAATGTTTTTCTAATCAAATATTCTTAATTATAAAACCAAATTAGTGATTATCTTAATAAAATTTTAAGAAAATAGCCTTCAAAACTATAACTTTTTAAATTTTAACTGTTTATAAATATCTTTGATTATCTTAAAATTTTATTAAGCTAATTGATTTTGTATATTAAATAAAAAATGTTTTTCTAAACCTTCTTTGTCTAGAAATATTTTAATTGCTTACTAGCAATGCCATATTAAGTCACAATTTACTCATCTCTATCCTCTTTTACCTATTCAATCACATATATATCCTGGATATTCTCTTAATTCTCAAATAATTGCTAACAAATATACAGTTATTATTCCCATTAATCTTTTAACCCAATTTTTTAATCAAGTAAATACATCAAACAAAGCTCTTAACTTCAATGTCAACTATTTAGACCTTATATACTCTATTGCAATTAGACATCCTATTCAAACTCCAAATTTACCTAATATTTATATTGATACATACTCTATCCTAACAATTTTTGATCCTAGCTTATCAACAAACAATCTTCAACAAATTGCTAACTACAATTCTACTTTATCTGAACTTCACTTCTATACTGATGGTTCTGTTATTGATTTAAGAACTTCACAATGCTCTATGGGTATTGGATGGATTCAAATCTCTAATAACTCTATATTATATACATTCTATGCTTAAACAAAACTATGGCCTTGTTTATTTAAGGCAGAACTTGTAGCTGTTTTATCAGCTCTCATTACTGCTTCCAGAAACTGTATTATAAATATATATACTGATTTTTAATCTGTAATTTCTAAATACCAAAACCTTACACATTCTTCTACTACTTTATTATATATATATACACTATATTTTTCACTATAGAATACACTTATTAATTTTATCAAATCTTATAATATTCACATTATATTTCATAAAGTTACTGCTCATCAAGATAACAATTATAATAATCTTGCTGACCAACTTGCATGCAATCATTATAATCTAACATACAGTATCTTATATTTATATTTTACAATATTTATAATTCATCTTATACTTTAACTCTTGAGAACTTTTCCTTAGAATTACCTACTCAAACAATATGTCATGCTCATATCTATACACTTTGGATAACACAAAACTGTTTTTAAAAATAGAACAAAATTTTTAACTAAATTAATTGGCAAGCTACTTGGTTATATATTAACAACAATCAAAAAATTTCTAACTTTTCATACAGTTTTCAATCTTTTGCTCTTAAATCCTTTAGGATTAAAATTTTATTAGATGAACTTCCTTTTCCATATATTTTACACAAATGATATCATTTATATTTACCCAATTGTCATCAATATCATCAGATCAGCTCTTATCTTCATTGAATAACTTATCCATCTGATCAGCTACTATACAAGTTTATAGATAATTTATTACAACATACTCTTAACATAACTACACTCGATACTACTCAGAATATTATAACCAACTTACACAACCAGATCAAGCAATTAGACTGCATGACTATATACAGTATGCTAGATACACCTTTAGTCTTCTTAACTTTATTAGGCCTAGTACCAAATGAAATTATTACCTCTATATATTTCTAACTTATCAACCCAAAAAATAGCTACAACACTTGTTATAAAATTTCTACTTCATCTTAATCAACAAGTTTATCATAA